AAGGGAAAGGGAATATAGAAAGAAATAATGTTGGAAAGAAAAGGAAAAAGGAAACGGACCGATGAGAACCATAGACCTGATGCACCTAGCCCCCGCTATCATCGCCGACCGCCGCCAGACAAGTCCCCCAACACCTAGGACACACAATAACCGAAGGCCGAATAGCCCCGCAGACCAGGAAAATCGAAGCAATCGACGCGCTAAAGGCTCCTTCCGACGTGAAAGGCTTACGACAAGTGTTAGGAATGGCCGGCTACTACCGCAGCTTCGTGCCGAATTACGCAGCCGTCACCCAACCGTTGACGAAACTGATGCGCAAGACAGCAACTGGAAAGAGGAGCAACAGAGGGCGTTCAGGCAAATAAAGGAGCAACTGAAGCAGGCAGCCCTATGCAACGATTACGCCGCTGAAGAATTAATCATCGTGACCGACGCGAGTGATTACGCAGTAGCCGGGATCCTATCATGTAAAAAGAACCACCGCGATTACCCAATTGAATACATGTCTAAGACGTTAACAGAAGTGGAAATAAGGTGGCCGACAAGAGAGAAGGAAGCATATGCAATCGTAGTTGCACTCCAAAAGTTCGATGTCTATATACGGGGACGGAAGGTTACTATATATACCGATCACAAAAGTCTAGAGTGGATGTTCCAAGCTAAGAAAGGTAAGATTGCTCGATGGGCCACACCCCTACAGGAGTATGACCTGACCGTTATCCACAAGAGCGGAATTGAGATTGCGCACGTGGATGCCCTTAGTAGACTGGCGAAAGACGTAGCGACGGCCGAAGATAGGATGACATGCATGGCGGTTATGACACTTACCGAGGAAGAGGACGGATTACCACGGGTAACGGAATGGGGACAAGCGTACCAAGAGATACCCACCGTAGAGAGGGACCGACTGAAGGTCCGAGAATGGCAAGGGATGCTGACCAGAGGAGGCCGGGCATACGTACCACCACAATACGTGAAGAGAGTAATACGACATTTTCATGACCGGCGGGTCGGGACCCACGCCGGAGTAGTGAGGACACACCGGAGAACCCAAGAACTATTCTGGTGGCCCGGACAGATGGAAGAGATACGGCAGTACGTCGGAGCCTGCCTAACTTGTCAACGCCGAAGGAATGGGATAGAACGCACGCAGGGACTGAGTAGGGCCTTCCCACTAGGGGAGATCTTCGAGGCGGTACATATCGACTTCTGGCAAACCAGAGGAGAAGGCAGGCCAATAATGACAATGATCGACCGGACGTCACGATGGGTGGAAGCAGCGGTGGTCCCCGACAAGTCTGCCCATTGGGCGGCAGCGACATTTGTTCGGCGATGGGTTACACGATACGGAGTACCCAAACAACGACACCTTCGAAAGCATTACGAACGCATACAGGGAGAAAGCATGAGAGGCGAAGAAGAGTCGCACCATACAACGCTGGGTATGACGCCAGGGAGGTGGCTATTCGGGGTAGAACCCACAATACCGGAGGAACGGGAGCTCGTAGGCACCCTGAGGAGTCCAAACTTACAACGAATAGAATGGTTGGCGAAGACCAGGGAGGAGACGATCGAGCGGATGCAGGCAGAAGCCCAACAGCGGGCCGACCGACGAAATGAGCGACGGAGAGGAGGACACCTAGAAAAGGAGACCTCGTACTCGTAAGAGAA